TTACACTCTCAGTAGTAAAGCCTGTGCTCCCAGAAGCTGATTTAACATCTTCTGAAACCTTATTTTTTTCCAACAGACTGCTTCAGAGAAAATACAAGCAGTGATGGGTGTCTGTTTTGTCGTATCTTTAGACTTCTACTGTCAGAACCAGTTAACAGATGCAGCATTTAATAACTATGGATGTTAAATGAACTTTTGGCCCATTTCACCTGGCCATATATTTTGTATCACCTTGGGTATGATTTCCGTTCCATGTCAACTCAAACAAATCCGGAGGGGCAAATTGGGTGCTCATTTGTTTGTCTTGGATGCAATTGCAGGTTTTACTGTTTTGGGGTTTTTTAACATTTTTTGAGAAGCAGAATTGGCAAAATTAGATAGAGTTCAATCCTGCAAGGTCCTGAGTTTGCTAGGATTTGGGATGGTTCAGGTTGTCCTGCTAGATCACAGGGCTATCAGTTATGATGTAATCCCTATTAAACCAAGCTATCTATCTGAAGAAAAAAAAAAAATAAAGTGAACCTTTCAACACAAAAGCTCATCTACAGGTGTTTTTCAGCAATACTGTGTATTATTCATCTAAATGCTATTATTAGGTAAAAATTGGACCCATTTTTCAAGGAATTGTTACGGGAGTTTAGAAGCTTTTCTGAAATCTGAATTTGGCTTGTACTTCATCTGAAGGTGTAAGAAACTTAGCACTTTATGCATCAGCTACTGAAAAGAGACTTTGACATAGCCCAACTCTTCAGATACCTTCCTCTGAAGGCCTCTGTCTCCTACATTTATCCAAAACTTCTTGAAGTACACCTTTGTGTGTCCTGCTTGTCGTCTTTCGATACCACATGGCTTGACCTTCACAGTTTGCATAATAACATTTTAAAATATATCTTCCACTCATTTTTCTGGGCATTAATGTGTCTTTCCCCAACACACCAGAGTAGAACTCATCCTGCTAAAGCTGAGTGAGTTGTGGTCCGTGGAGAAATGGCTTGGGCACTGGTCTGTGCCTTCACGCCTGGTGTCAGACTGCTAAATTTTAGTCAGCTAAGTCCTATCCAGGGAGTAGATGTCCTTTTATAAGCACTATAAGTATGAACTCTTGACATGTCGTTAGAAATGCAGGATGTATGTGACTGTGTATAATAGACATACACTTTATTATTTATATTTTGAGCTTAATAGAATCATAGGAGTTTGTGTTGGAACACACATGTAAAGGTCCTCTAGTCAAAGCCCCCATCTATGAGCAGAGCCATCTTCAACTCAGTCAGGTTGTTCAGAGCCTTGTCCAATCTCACCTTGAACATTTTCAGGAATAGGGCATCTGTCACATGTGTGGGCAACCTGTTCCAGAGTTTCACTACCCTTGTTTTAAAAAACTTCATTATATCTAAACTCACCCTTCTTTAGTTTAAAACTGTTCCCCCCACCCTATTGCTACAAGTCCTGCTTAGAAGTTTTTCCCCATCTTTCTTTAAGGTCCCCATTAAGTACTGAAAGGCTACAGCAAGGTTTCTCTGGAGCCTTCTGTTCTCCAGGCTGAACAACTCCAACCCTCTCAGCCTGTCCTCATAGGAGAGGTGCTCCAGGCCACTGATGATTTTTGTGGCCCTCCTCTGCACTTGATCCAAGAGGTCCATGCCTTCTTGTAAGATAGAGATACGTAAAGTTAGTCATATTTCCTAGGGGGATTATAAACTTTGGCTTTGTCTAACACAAAAGCTGTGATGCTTTAACAATACTGATGATATTGTTTAGAAGCTTTGCCTGTGGTTATTCTTGTAAAATTAATTTCCACATATATAATCTGTAGCAAAAATTTTAGAATGCCATCATAAATATTTCTAAGTGTAACGAATTCATCTTCGGGGAGGAAAAAATGGCATCAGTAACTGAAATAGCCTGCATGTAAATAATTTTCAGTGTCTTCAAATTTTGAAGCCAATATGCTTTGCAGAAGGGAAGAGCAGATAGGAATGACCTTAGTTGTATTCTGCAGTAAACAGTTGTGCAAACAGATGAGAGAAAACTGTCTTTGAGCTGATGGCAAAAGAATAGGTTAGTTTATAAAAGCTAAAGTGTAATCAGAATCATTAAAAAAAAGATTATTCTATGACTGAGTTTATTGTTTATTTCACTGTACATCGTGTGTGCCTGCGAATTCTGAAGTTCTCCTTTGGCACAGCGCCACCCTGTTTTTTTTGCTACAAAAAAAAAGTTCACTAAGTACATTTAGTGACTGAGAAATGCCCAGTATCGTAGTTTCTAATCAGTTGTTACTACATTTGGGTTTTCTTCCACTAAATTTTAACTCTTCTTTTTAACACAATTATGAGTAAATTTTAAGCATATTGATGGTTAGATCTGGTTGTATAATAAGCACTTGTATTTAATAAAGTTATAGATATAAGTTCTATAACCTTCAACCACCACTGAATAGGAGATAATTTTTTTTCAAATTGGTAGAAAGAAGATTTCAAAAGTTGTTTCCCTTAGATATGCTACCTGAGACCCTTACCAACCTAAATTACTATGTACCTCCTGAAAAGAAGAAAAAAGCAGAAAGCATCAGTGTTTCAGATTCTCAATGACCTAACAGTAGAAGGTCTATGAAGTGTACATAATTTAGTCACCAGAAAAGAATGTAAAGACAGACTGTATATGTTAGAGGCCAAAATCACTGCAAAAATGAGATATATTTAGCACAGTGAGTTTGTGAAGGTAGGGAAATAGATGAAATGCTTGTTCTAAAAATTCATCAAGACACAGATATGATAAAAGGAAAAAGCAAACTATTTCTACATCTTCAATAAACTCTGACCTTACCTTTTTCCAGTTGTTAAACACATATTTTTCTACAAGACAATTTCCAGAAAGCAATGGTTAGGAGTAGTATGGAAGATGTCCCATTTTAAAATGCATGTAATCATTCTAGGAGTACATGACAACTGAAAGAGAAGCTTTCATATTTTTTAGTTCAGCAAGCTATGGGTATTGGGCGTTTTGCACCGAGGAGTGTTAAATTCCTACATATATGTATATATGCATATATGCATCCATCTCCATTTTTATGGAAAATTCTGTGCAGAATTTGTCTGCAAACACATAGAAGGCAGGCAAAGCAGTTGTATGTCCACATTAAGTGCTATTGCTTCACAAAACCAAACCAAACCAGAACAAAAAAACACACAATGTGTGCAGGTAAACAAATTCATGTGGTGGGAGAAACATATGAGGCTTTGGGTGTCTGGCTGCTTTATAAATAATGAAGGAAGACATCTGTCCACTGGTAAATACGGGAAGAGAGAAATTGATATCACAAATCTGCCATCCTTTCTAAGCACACAAAACACAGAATTACAGGATATGTCAAGTTGGAAGAGATTCACAATGGTCATTAAGTCCAGTTCCTGGCCCTGCACAGGACCATGCCCAAGAGTCACACCATGTGCCTGAGAGTATCATCCAAACACTTCTTGAAATCTGTCAGGCTTGGTGCTGTGACCACTTCCCTGGGGAGCCTGTTCCAGTTCCCAAACACCCCCTGGGGGAAGAACCTTTTTCTAATACTCAACCTCAACCTCCCCGACAGAACTTCAGGATATTCCCTTGGGTCTTGTCACTGGTCACAACAGAGAAGAGATCAGTGCCTGCTCCTCCTCTTTCCTTACAAGGATATTGTAGACTGCAATGAGGTCTCCCCTCAGTCTCCTCTTTCCTGGGCTGAACAGACCAAGTGCCCTCAGATGCTCCTCATACAGCTTCCCCTCAAGGCCCTTCACCATCTTCGTTGCCCTTCTTTAGACACTCTCTAATACCTTAACATCTTTCTTATATCATGGCACCCAAAACTGTCACAATATTCAAGGTGAAGCCTCACCAGGGCAGTGCAGAGCGGGACGATCCCCTCCCTTGACTGGTTGGTGATGCTTTGGCTGATGCCCCCCTAGGACATGGTTGGCCCTTCTGGCTGCTGAGGCACTGCTGACTCATAGACAATTTGCCATCGACCAGAGCCCCCAGGTCCCTTTCTGTGGCACTGCTTTCTAGTATCTCATTCCCTAGTCTGTGCATGCCCCATCCCAGGTGCAGAATCCAGCACTTTCCCTTGCTGAACTTCATATGGTTGGTAATTGCCCAGTCCTCTAATTTGTCCAGGTCTCTCTGCAGGGCTTCTCTGCCTTTGAGGAAATCAGCAGCTCCTCTGAGTGTTGTGTCATCTGCAAGCTTGCTTAGTAGCCCTTCCAGTCCTGCATCCAAGTAATTTATGAAGATGATAAGACAGTAGATCTTGAGGGACTGCACTTGAATTTATTCTTTCTTAGTAAAGAAATACTTTCTCTTTCTTCTGAATTTTTCAACATTTTAATTAAGGTCTTGCCAAGACTGAAGCTTCACTTGGTGTGGATTGACTTAACGTGGAGGAAGACAGAGTTCTTCCTCTGGGAAACTGCTACAAAAGATATGTCTTACCATGCATTTTCTCACCTGAGGAACTTTGCTAGGAATTTGCAAGGAATCACCTCCATGCTATACTGTGAGCTAGGGAAAAACTTAGAACAACCAAGGACATATTAACAAATTTTTTTTTCTGCTAAAATCAGAGTGAAAACTGAAAAGACTGAAAGATATTTGTTACGTTTCAAAAAGGAAGGAACTGTTAGTAAATTAGGTACCTATGTTTTGGTGTTTTATGGACTTGTTTTGTTTTTACCATTTCTTTTCTTCTGTATTTTCAGAAAGACACCCATTGTCAGAGGAAACAATGGCAGCTGCCCTTGCTAGGGCTGTCCGTTTACTGTGAAAGAGGAGACCATGCTGAAGCATCTTTTTAAAATATCTTCCATTGTGAGCAGAAGAAAAGATCATCTAACATGATCTTAGGTTTAAATAACAGAGATGAATTTGTCATGATTTTTTGCTTGGTTCTGCTGCCCTGGAGTTACTGCAGAGCAGACCACTGGAAAGACAGAATGCAGGAAAATACTCTTGTGCTGCATATACAGTATTTCATATCTGCATAAATATGCAAGAGGTATCTTACCTAAGCAAAGGTCAGAAGACTTCTGAGATTATTTGACCTGTGATGGAACGACTCTTCTGGGAAACTGCTGGAGTACTTCAGCCACAGGCACCCAGCATCTCTGCCCCCACTGATATGTGCCAAAGTCCAAAATGAACCACACTTGGACATACAACTTGAGCTTTGATGCACCTGCAGATCCTGTTGAGCCAAGGGCTGGACTCACGAGAAGTGGGCACACAGTAGTGGCTGTTTTTCTTGGATTTATCTTGGTTTTTGGTTTCTTGAATAACTTAATTGTCCTCATCCTCTTCTGCAAATTTAAACCCCTTCGTAACCCGGTCAACATGCTCCTCCTGAACATCAGTATCAGTGACATGTTAGTGTGCATCTCAGGCACTACCCTCAGTTTTGCATCTAACATCCGTGGCAAGTGGATCGGAGGGGAGCATGCTTGTAGGTGGTATGGCTTTGTCAATTCCTGCTTTGGTAAGAATTCAATGGTAATTCTTTACTCTCCTTTTTTTTAATACTGAAGCAACTTGATCAGTGAGCTCAATGCTGCTCTGTGCTAAACAGAAGGATACTTTAATTGCCATGTTATGGTCAAACACAACTGAAATCCATAATTTAAAACATTTGACAAAAGACTTTATGAGAGAGAAGTGGAGATCTAGTGAGTATTTCCTAACATATCGCATTCTTTGAAATTACTTATGTTTTAAGAGTTAAAAGTGGAATATAGAAAGAGGCAAGCCACTTCAAAGAGTTTAAGTGTATGAATGTATATAATACTTCCCTCTTTTTCAAAAAAATCTGTGCCATTGCAGAACTACAGGTCCCTCAGTGCTATTTCTAACATAAATAAAGCCACCTGAAAGTACTGTCTTTACCATTAGTAATTATCTGTCAATCTATAATATGAATACCTCATGTCCGGGATAATGAGTTTTCATTATTACATGCTTTCCGTTCTCCTGCAAAGCAAAATTTTTATTTTAAAATTACATCCTTGCAGATTCAACAGCAAATTAAGTCTTAGGAATAGATTTGTCAGAAGTGATGGTAAAAGCATTCAGTGTTCTTTATCTTGACCAGACAAAACTTTTTTGCAACCAGCTTTTTTACTGCTGGATATAAATGTTTTAACTGGAAATTACTTTAATTGTTAAAAAAGATAAAGGACAAAGTACAGACACAGGGAAGCCTTCATCCTCCAAGGTGGCTTGTTGCTTTAAGATTTGTGTCACCAAGCAGTGATTCTTTCTTCATATATTCTTATATTAAAAAAAGATTGATTAAGGCATAAACTGGCCTGTGGGTGCATGTCTAGGTGTGATCCTTATCTCACCCAGACTGGGGGACTCGGTACAGCTCCCTCTTGCTGTACATCCTTGCTTTGGTGCCTTCAGGCCACCAGGACAGGACGAGCGCAAGCCTGGCTCTTCTCGCACCCTGGATTGCAGTGCATCTCCTGCAGGCTCTTTGGCCCACAGTTCTTGGTGTAGAAGCCAGTGGTGCATCCAAATCCATGTTTTCTACCTGAATTATAAGCTTTTGCTGTTTCGAGTGGTGTGGTCTCTGGTACCTGTCCCTTCCTCAAATGTGTTCTGCACTGATGACCATTGATGCAGCCTGGCAGCTTCCCCTGGGAAGCTGCTGTTTTGCCCAAAGGGAAGTCTTGGGAGTTAGCAATGTGTAACATAAAAGCACTTTGGCCATCCAAAAATAGACCCCATCAGTAATACTTCGGCTTGTTTTGGTGGGTTGTTTTTGGTTTGGTCTGTGCAGAGCAGAATGACAGGTCTTACAGGTTTCATTTCCATTTTTGTGAGTTTTATGAATTTCGGTATTTCTGTAGTTGGTCTTCTTGGGAAGAAAGAAGTTAGGACTGCTTTTCTCCCTTGTTTGATTTAGCCTCTTTTTTATTATTATTATTTATCAGTGGGATGGAAGAATAACATTTGAAGGGGGGGGGGAAGGGTGGAGTTTTTTTGGGATTAGGAAAAAGTATGTTAATGGTTTGAAGCTGTTGGCTGCTGTCAGGATACATGTGAGTTACCACCCCAGTGACTTTGGAATTCAACCTGCAAATGAGGAAGTTTCTCCTGGGGTGACCTGATTGTAGAATAATTCTTCAAAGTCAGATCTGTATAAATTGGCAGGAGTGCAGATTTCTGTGCTAACCTCTTTTGATGTAAGAGTTTCTGCTGTAGTTCTTAAAATGGATTAGATCATAAAGGAACACACAAGCAAACAAAACGGCAAAACCCAGAATGCCAAAGGTGACCTCAGATCCTCTGAGTGATGTTGGCCCTGTCAGCAGGGTGTCCTGGGCAGCTGAGGCAGCCTAAGTGCAGGTAGTGCACAGTGCTCGTGACAGTCTTGCAGTGCTCACATTTTTTCTTTCATCAGTGGGTATAAAGGGCATACTGAAGAAGTTTGTTCACAGAGTTACAATTAAAAGATGTTTACTTACGTAAAGAAAACAACATCCTTAAAGGAACTACTAGGAGCAGGCTGCCTAACATTTATATGTCCATAAACAAATTGTATCTGTTGATAAATACCATTATTCATCAGGTTTTATGACTTTTTGTACTCCAGAATGTGCTGAAAAAGAGCTACTGTAGGTTTGCAGTGTGTTGATGGCTTTTTCATGTCTTCATAGCACTTGAAAACAAAAGGCTTTTTTTTAAATTTTAATTTTTAACATTCAGTGTGCACTGTAAATACTGTAGACTGAACAAGGATCCATTGAATGGAATTGTTAAATTTTTTTGTGGCTATTAGAAAGTAACATGAGAGAGTTGTGAGGGTTTCATTGAGACTTGCAGGTATTATTGCTAAAACAAAAAACAAATAGCATCTCATTAATTGTAGGATTATTTTCCTTGTCTTCTGTGACCTTTGGAAAAATTGTATAAAACTTATTGTAGTGATTCAGAAACTGAAGATATGGAAAATCATGTATATTCTGTGTCATAAACTGATGGTTGAAGACATTGATTGGTGCAGTGTAGTTACTGAGTATAATCATAGAGTCATAGAATGGTTTGGATTGGAAGGGACTTCAAAAACCATCTAGTTCCAACCCACATTCAAACTGTTAAAATATTTTAAAATACATTTAATTCTTAAAAGGCATCTGAAAATACTGTATTTTAATATGGGGTTTTTTTGCCTCTCACTTTTTCTTGGTGATACTGTGAAAGCCTCCTTTGGGTTTCATACTGAATTAAGAGTGAAGGTGTTATCCTCCAGGTTTGTGGCCTGGAGGAAACCTGAGACAATGAAAGCAGAAAGCTGAGATTTGTTTCAAACATAAAGGCGTGGTGAGATTCACTCTTTTTTCTTTTTTTTTTTTTTTTTTCTTTTAATCTCTAAAGTCTCTTACCTTTTTTGAAATCACATGACTGTTGCCCTGGAAGGTGATCTGGAAAACAGATCTGATTCTTCTTCCAACAGTATTGACAGTACATTGATGTCACTTAGTGTGAAATCAAGTAAGTTATTTACTGAACGATCCATTGCCTACCCCAGGCACTTAAAATCATGACTCAAGAACCAGCACCGGGGGGTTGCCATAGACACAAGGGAAAAAAAATATGGACAAAGTGAAGGTTTTTTGGTTTAATTACTTGTTGTTTTCCCCACGTCTACTTTGTGGTTTCAAACCATTCACAAAAAGCAGAAGGTTTTAAAGCTATCAGGAAGTGCAGATGCTGATCAATAAACATGTAAACGGGATTTTAAGGAGAAAATTAGATATCATGAGATCTGCTATGGAAGTAAGAGCTGTGGGGTCTTCATCCGGGGGAGCATTAGGAATGGAGCTAGAGAAGAAACAGCATGGTCTGTTTGCAGCATAAATGATTTTATTCTGGTGCTTGTGCATGTTTGCAGCTAAATAGGTCACAGCAGTGGAAACTGCACATGTCACTGAGTTGGGGAAATGGATGGATTTTTTAAATTTGCTCCCATTACCCACCACTTAGTCATGGTGGTTTGACAAGCTCATGGTTATACATTTAAGCAAACATGAAAAGGGACACAGGGACACGATCCGTTTTCCCAACTGAACTCCGAGTAAACTTTGCAAGCAAGGTGAAATAAGGACAGTTAAATATATAATAAAATTATTAAACATTAGATTTTAATTTAGGAAAAATATATTATTTAGTAAAGTACTCCCATAGAGCCCATATATATATGAAGTGATATGCCGTCCTAAGATTAGGTTTGTCTTGCAGTTCTCTTCATCTCAACATAATCTCTCCAGTGTCTTTTTAAACACTACAAATCTCTGGACAGATGAAAATTTTCAGAAACATTCCATTAATGTAGACTTCCCAAAATATGTAGGACAAGCAGAATTTGGGACCAGATGAATTCTGGAGTTCATTTTCAGAATCACTATTATATGTCAGGATTAACTATTAAGTAGATTAAAACATATGGGAAAGACAAAGAGCTTTCTCTGGCTCCAGAAATCCAACACTAGATTCTAATACAGGAAAAGTTTCAAGGCACACTACTAGCAGGGATATTTCTGTGACTGTTGACCTCTTAGCTCTTGTTTTCAGGTGTCTGCTGGTTGTTTTCTCTTTCTTAACCTTCATGGTTGTTAAAATACCTGGAAGTTTGTCTGAGAAATTTTGATTCCAAAATTTCACTGTTAAAAATGAATTCAGATTAGAGGACCCAGGGATGCCTATGCCATGTGAAAACTCTGCGACTTGAGGCTGTGTCTTACTGCACAGCATCCTGTTTGTCCTGGATACCAGGGAGGGCTATGTTTCTAAACCTCTTTGTACTGAAATAGGGCATCTGGACATGTCTTTATGTCCATTGATAAATCAAGGTCATATCTAAATGAGGAATTTAAAATTAATCTTTTTAAAAACCCTGTAGCACTCACTTCTAGGGGTAGATAATCTTTTTAGTCATATTAAATCAGTTATTGAATTATTCCCTTGTAAACTGCCAGAGAAGACACAGAATAAGAAATGGAGCTGCTCATGTTTTTTTCTTTAAAGTTCAGCTGCCTTGAACAAATGCCTTAAAAATAATTTTCTTTTTAATATTTTATCTTGATTTCATATGCTGTGTTTTTGACTCATTGCACTAAACTTACGTACTTATTTTAGAGTACAGACTTCTAACATACTGGAAATTCCCTGTTTATGAGATGCAGTTGAGACCTCAGATGTAAGAAATTACTCTCCTGTGAAAAGACGCATTTATTTCCATGAGTAAAGACATAATCTCCCTTGGCTTGATCCTTTGGATCAAGTCTAAAGTTTTCTGAGCCTTGATGCAGCAAGTTCTCACCTCCCAGTACAAAGGCACACTTAGCAGCTCCTCACCTGGGTGCAGACCGTGGACAGCTCCTTTTCCAGTGGTCTTGGATGGAATTAAAGGTGATATTTCTATAAATATAGCTGATAGCAAGAACAGCTAATCAGTAGCATTTAGGAAAACATAGT